CTCATCTTGTCTTGAAGATCGCTTCCATATAGCCGGAGCTGATGGATTCCACCTTCGACACAATCTGATGGCGGGTGCCGCAGGGAGTGCCTTGGCCTTGGCATTCGGCTTCGCTGGAGCTGCCTTCGCTTCGGATTTAGCTTTAGCTTTTGCCTTTGGTTCCGGAGCTGGGGTAGCTGCTGCCTCATGCTTGAAAGGACAATTCTCTCTTGAGCACGAGCCTGTGTTCTTGAACGAGTAGCATATCCTGTTTCCTCCTCCTCCAGATGGACTTGGAGTTCTCGTCCTCGGCGTGAAGGGTCGCTCTGGAGTCTTCTTCGAGTGACTGAATGGACACTTATCACCATTTCGACACCCTGCATCTGTGAAATGGAACTTGCAGCGGATTTGCTTCTTGCTTTTGTCACCTCTGTTGTCCGCTGACTCACTCCTCGTCTTCTTCTTGGGCTTTGGCTTGGTCTTCGCATGACTCTTCGCTTTGCTTTGAGGTAGTACAGGTGTTGCTTTATCCGGCTTGGTCGGCGAAGCCTTGACCTTTGCGGATGGAGCTGCGTTAGGCGTTGGTTTCTCGGGTACCTTGGCCGGTGCAGCAAGCAAATCCTTGCCCTCAAGCATCTGGCGCAAGCCAATTTGGGTCTGAGTGAGATTTGACTGTTCTCGTCTCCGCATGATAGTACGGTCAATGATCTTCATCAGGTTGTCGTACGATCGGTCTTCATGATTGTAGGGCAAGTGTTCGTAATGCATGCCCAACTCCATCTTCATTGCGGGCGAGTCCTTGATCTTGCTGTACAAGCAATCACGGAGAGCTGTTTTGGATGGAATGTCCTCTGGTCTCATCCGTCCCAGAACTTCCAACCACGTCTGCTTGAACGTATGAAGCTTGTTGTCGCCTTGGTACTGGAGCTTCACCAAATACTCAAGAGTGATGATCATGTCGAGACGATCGTGCGTTCGAAAACTTTCATACATCATCGCAATGATTTGTCGTCCTTTGATGATCTTCCCGTCGGGCCTGCTGATGTAATCGTTAGCCTTCCGGTTCACCTCAAGGTACAGGTCAGCTGATTTGTCACCACCGGCACGTAGCATTGCGACCATGGCGATCCCCAATTTGACGTCTATGCTCTTGAACTTCTTGTGTCCTGAATCATTCAATGCTTCGACATCAGGGAATGGGTTGAACGCTGGTGCCAGCCATAACATCCAGTCCTCATGATGTGGGTCGGCTGATGCCCCTAAGACATTGGCCGTGCACACAGATCGCCAGTTGTTGAGATGAGTGAGAGTAGGCCATGGAGGAACGGTCACTTTGTCGGCTTCCCTCCTGGAAATTCTCACCTCTGTGACTTCAGGATCCGCGTCTCCATCAGGATCACGCGCATGCGAGCCAGGATCCGATTCAGGTTTGCCTCCACCGCTTTTCTTCTTATCATCATCATCGTCAGGCGGGTCAGGAGGGTCATACCCCGTGCCGGTTCCTTCATCGTGCTCTCCATCTTCGTTCTCGTCGCCAGCCTCGTCACCGTCATCGTCTCCATTATCCTCCTGAATCGTTTCAGCGAATAATCTCCACTCATCACGATCAGCTCTGAGACGTTGTTCGGCTTTCTGGGCCTTGAGTACTTCGCTTCGCAGATCGGCAATCTTCTCCTCGTACCGTTCCGCGACCTCTTTCTCGATCTGACGTCTCCTTGCTTCATGAATGGAATCGTCATAGGCAATAGGGGGACCGATGAGGTCGTTGCCCTTCGTAGATGCGGTGATACCGTCGACACCAACAGGTCTTGAGGAGCTGGCAGATGCTGTGGACTTCGATCCCAACATCCCGCGATCCTCCAAGAGTTCGCGTAGCTGTCGATCACGCACGGCTGCCGCATCACTTTTCCCATGAAATCCGCTTGGTATGCCGAACAAAGTGGCTGCACTAGGCGTGGAACGCGCAAGTGCTGGGCTGCTAATACCTGGCACGTAGTGCTCGGGCATTGCATCCGCCACGATTGGCATTGAACTGCGACCAGTGAAGAAGTTTCCACCGGTGAACGGAATTCCATCCATCACAAGGTTCTTGTCCTTGTCCGATTCCGAGAATGCGAACTTCTCTTTGGCGACTGGACTAACTTGACTTGGGGACCGTATTTCAGGGGATCGTACCTCACCTCCTACGGAAAATGCAGGCACTACTTCCTTTCCTACGTGCTCCCAGCCAGACTCAGTAGTCCTCGAAGACATGGGCATGCTCGAAGGACGCGTCGCTCCACCATAGTTGGAGTTCCGCGCTGCCTCCAATTCGCTGCGTGTCCTCGCTTGAAGATCTTCTTGTGCTTTGAGCGTTTTCCTGAGTTCACTCAGCTCGTCGTGCAAGGTAGGCAGTGCTCGCCTTGCATGATCTTCATTCTGATGAAGTCGGTCCTCTGCTTCTTGCATCCTCTTCACAGCCATTTTGCGGTACTCTTCCTCTTCACCAAGACGTTCGCGAAGCCGAAATCGTTCTTGATCAATGGCTGCGCTGTTTCCAGCTAGCCCTTGGATCTCGTTCACGGCCCGCAACTCCTGGTTCTTGACCAAGTGGAATCGTTCCTGCATTGCTTGTAAGGCTTGTTCCGAACTTGCTGTGTTTGACCGGAGGACCAAGTTCTCTCTGGCATGTTCATGAAGTTCATGAGTCAGACGCTCATACTCACGTGCCATAAGCTCACCATCGCCTTGCGCTCTTGCCTCCAACTGCACAAAGTTAGTGGCTGCCTCCGTGCGGAACACGTGTAGCTGTTGAGCTAACTCCTCGGCAACGGCATGTGCTTGACGTTGTTGAGCAGAGTTCTGTTCATCCATGCGAAACAAAGCTGTTTCATAGTCTCGCTTCATCTCCTGATTGACATTGTTGATGTGCCTCATGGCTAAGCATGCATGGTCACGTTGTCGTTCCAATTCTTCAATGCGAATTCCAGATCCTTCATCTTCTTGTTGCATCTCCTTGATCTTGTCCATCAGGGTCTGAACAACTCCTTCGTATTCTTGCATCTGACTGCGATAGTACATCTGCTGCGCAAGGTTAGATGCTTCGAGCTGTTGCGAAATCGTCAGTTCCTGATAGGCATTCGGACCATCAGCTATGGCAGGCGTGGCCACGGACGACGCATCACCACGTGCAGGAATCGTATCCAGAGTCATATCCAGATCGTCAGCATCGCGTGGTTGATTGGTAACCATCCGATTCCACGTCATGGACTTGTCACGCCCACGAGTGGCTGAGGTCCTCGATCGTGCTGAAGAGCTTCTCGAAGATGATGGTCTTGACTTCTTTTCCAAGGTCTTGACTCCTTTGTCCTTGGCCCTGGACGTAGTCCGAGGTGCCTGAAAACCAGACGCTTCGGCCCGTCGTTCTGAAGCCTTGCCCGTCCTCGAACCTGTGGATGTCGGACGCGAAGGCGTAGATGCTCTTGGTAGACTCTTTGCTTTCCCCTTGGGAACTGCCTTTGCAATGGCAAGCGCAGAAGATTGACCTTTGTCATCTTCCGTGGAGCTATCAACGGATTGCACCACTGTGTCATCAGCTGTTGACTCACCAACGGCTGGCGCTGCCACATCGGCACCGAAAGTCATTGTCGTATCTTGGCTTGATCCTGAGTTCATTGTGGTCGTAGTAGATCAAGTAGTCGTTGCTGTAGAAAGGCAGAGCCGCGTACGGCTGATAACCTGCGTGGGGGATTGATCTCGACTTGGTTGCTGCTCTCCCCACCAGAGCTGTAATGAATGTAGGTGTGGCTGGCTAGCACTCTCCACAGACTGGACCCTGTCTCTCCCTCTTACTTCCACACTTGCGATCCTATGCAGGCAGAACCGGCGGCCGTTCCTTTTGCACTCACTGCCGGCGGCGGTTCGTCTGTGCAACGGGATAGCTCTGATTGCTCAGGATAGAAGACACATATAGCACTTAGCTATGGGCATTGACTTGAGCCAAACGTTGCGTTGGCGGTCACATAGAAAGGTAAAGATGAGGGATGCGTAGCATGCCCCCTTAGAGTCGAGGGACGCGTAGCGTGCCCCCTTCTCTTGCACTTTACACGGTCTTGCTCACAGCTCTTATAGTGACACCTTAGAACTTGACAAGGCACCGCAGTCCGTTCGCACAAAAAGATATACATAGACAGCACCTATAAGGTATCTGGAACAAGTAGCAATTTCGTTTTTGACCTTCCAGAGACAGTGCAATTAGAAGACAACATGCTATGTCAAATACATGAGGTAAGTATTCCACACTCGTGGTATTCCATTAACAGCACCAACAACAATTTGTATTTTAGACACCAGGTTATACCACCAGGGGTTATAGCAGGTATAACATATCGTAAAATTACAATTCCAGAAGGCAACTATACAGCAGTTCATTTAGCCCAAACCATAGAAATTGCATTAAATCTTTTTAGTAGATACAGTTGATAGACCCAACACATATTCCTTAAGCTACAACAGTTCCACAAATAAAATCACATTCAGTTCAAACTACGCTACGGTCATCTTCGTTGTTTTAACGGATGGAGAAGTAGCACCAGTAGAGGGTAGTTTTAGTGACCCTGTTGACGTCAATAATTTAAATTCAATTAACCGTGTGATGGGCAACACCACGCCAGCGACAGACGCCTATACCAGTGTAGCACCTTGTACGACTAATTTCATTGATTTAGTGCCCGCTAAGAGTCTGTATTTACATTGTAATGAACTCAGCAACTACAACCAACTAACTTCATCAGGTTATTCGTCAATAGTTTAAAAAAGTCAATGTTACTGTGCCTTATTTAGGCGTCGTTAACGATAATGAGTTGATTCAATTTGATTACATTGATGTTTCTAACAAGTTCCTTCGTAGATTGAATATTAGGCTTACGGACCAATTCAATAGGGTAGTGGCTTTAAACAATGTTGACTGCTCTTTCACTTTAACACTTTACAAGGGTTAATATGACAAATATGAATAAAATATAGATAAAATATATAGAATGTCAGAAGAAGTAACAAACCAAACAGAAGAAGTCAAGCAAGAAGCGCCAGAACCTCCAACTGAACAAGAAAAGCCACCAGAAGTTGTTGATAAAAACGAAGAAGTCAAGCAACCTGTAAAGGAAGAACAGCCCAGCCAAGAAATAACAAGCAAGACAGCGAGATTAACTGAAAAGAAGATGACCTGTCCAAAATAAATTTACGTTCTTACAGATACAAGCACGAAAAGAACTGCCAAGGCAATTTGGAAGACCGCCCTATACAGCCACAAGCCAATCCAAAATCAAAAGCGAAAGCAAAAGCAAAAGTGAAGTCCATCCTGTCACGCCAGTAACGCCCTTTGAAAACACAACGGTAACCGAAAATGCACACAACGTAGCGCAACCAAAGCAACCAGTGAGAATGACACAGTTCCCACCACCGCAACTGTCAGCAATAGAACTACTACAACAACAGTACGCAGAAATGAGAAGAATAAGGCAACAAAAAAAGCAAGAAAAAATAAACAAATTAAAATTAAGTATGTTTTAATTTCTAATATTAAATATAAAATATGCTCAAGGGAAAAGCAGAGTTTAAGCGTAAACCCCAAGTAGAAAAATATTATGATGTGAATGATGCGGTAGGTGTGGCTTCAAGGAAGAAATACATGAATGACTTAAAAAACTTCATGGACTTTGAAGAAGGCAAAGCCAAACAAATTAAATACAGAAACGACCTAGTGCAACACCAAGCAACCTCAATGTATCGTGGACAACTGGAAGACATAAACAGACGACTAAGAAGGCCAAATCTACCAGTCAGAACCAAAAATGAGTTGGAAAGGAAGCAAGCAGAATTAAAGAAAATAATAAAAGAAACAATTTAATCTAATTATTAATATACTTATGCTCAAAACATTAAAGTCAGAATTAAGAAAAAGACCAACATACAACGAAATGATTGGGATGGTTGAAGAAGAAGAACTGAAAACAAAACCTTCTATTGAGTCAGTAATTGACCGCAAGGCTACAATATTTCGTAACAACCAGTTTGGTAGTCAGTTTGATAATTTGGACTTCTTCGGCTTGAAAGCCCAAGAAAACGAAAGGTTGAAGAACGAACTGAGACAGAACCAACTGAGACGAACAGCCGTGGCTACTGGTGCATCAATGGGAGTTTTAACAAGTAGCATAGGGTCAAGTGGCTTCAGTACACCTTTAACGGATACACCATCAGATGAAGCACATCTGGGACATGCAGACATAGAAAAAATTAGAGCAGAACTAGCAGAGCAAGAGAAAAGACAACAACAAGCACAACAAGTTGACACACAAGGTGTAGTAACTCAGTTAGACCAATCACATAGCCAACAGTTACCAACTGGTATTGATTTGAGTCAACCCGCTAGTAGCAGTCAACCAGCAACCAGACCAGCACAAGAACCCGAAAGTTCAGAAGAGGAACTGATACCCGCAGAAGATGGTACACAAAACTCAAGCGGAAGCACACGCCCTTTTCAAAAAGCCATTCAATATTGGAACAATGATATTGATGAGATGAGACAGAATACAAATGTTACCTATGAAGATTTATTGTTTCAGCTTCACGTTAGAGGACAGTTGTCCGAAGCCATTAAACAAAAAGTGGAAGAACTACCAGATGATGATAGTAGAAAAATATACCTACTGCGAGTCATTGAAAAACTTATAGGTAGTAGTGACAACGAGTGGCAGATAGCTGTAAATCAGGAGTTATTCAAAAAGAGACAGAAAGATTGGGTTGAAATGAACAAACCAAAACAAGGACTGGTGAAAAGATTCTTGGATAGCTCGGGGTCGGCTGTTGTTGAAGCAGGAAAGGAAGCACTTGTTGCAGGTGCACAAAATGCGGTCATGAGTTTGCTATAAGCTATGGTTATATATATATATATATATATATATGTTAAGGATAAAACCTACATACGAGGAAATGTTGAAGGAAACCAAAACAAAAAGGTTAAAAGTTGATTTTTCAAGGGAACGAAGAAGTGTGTCAGGCGTGCTCGTGATAAGCGAGTCATTATGAAGGAGAACCCAGATAAAGGAGTACAAACCGATATGTTCTCTAATTCTTCATCTTCTTCATCTAGTAAGAGTTCCGACAAATCTGAAATAGAACAAACACAACAATTGCAAGAAGAATTAAGTAGTATATCAAGCAAACCAGGTAGCGAAGCACAACAAGAACAAGAACAAAAAAAAAAAAAAAAATCATTGTTAAGAAGAATGTTCGATAGTATGTTTGATATTGATGGAGGTAGTGTTCCATCTTCTAGAATAAGTAGTGCATCTGAAAGTAGTCAACCAGTAGAAAACAAGAAAAGCGAGACACCACCAATATTGAGTTCATCTTCTTCATCTTCATCGCGTGATTCACGCTCTGTATTACTACCAGTTGAAACACAACCCACGCCACCAATTAGTATACACTCCTCGCCACCAATAAGTGTACAAAGTTCTCGTTCTAATACAATAGAATGTGTACCTAGTTCTGGTTCAAGTTCTAGCAATAGGACAGTTCAATATCTAAGTTCAGGGAGTTTTTCACGTAGAACATCTCACGTATCAATAAGTTCATAAATACCAGCGTAAAATAAAAACTAACTAATTAATTTTTATTTTGCGCTGCAGTTGCAATAGACACACCAAGCTTCACAATTGTCTATGTGGTGTGAAAACTCGTTGTCTTTTCGCTGTGCTGTTATGGTATTAGTAAGGTAACCAGTTTTAACTTCAAACTCAAACCGACAACCACAATTGCAACACTTACCGTTGATTCTTTTAGTGGAGTGGAGCGGAGTGGAGGGACGACCGAGACCCGAAGGCCTGGCCTGTTAGTTAGCAGTGGCATCACCTCCGGGCCGAAGGCTTAAGGATCAAACCACAACGAAAACCGTGAAAAAACATAGGGTCTTAGGGCAGGCGAACCGGGTGGCCAACCGCGCACCCCAGGCGCAAACCGGATCCATCCCGACTCGAGTCTCCATCAGCTCATTGCAGCTCGCGTAACCGTGCACTCCAGGCACGAATCGGGATCCATCCCGACAGAGCTTCCATCAGCTCATTGTCACTTGCGTAACCACGCACTCCAGGCACGAACCGGGATCCATCCCAACAGAGCTTCCATCAGCTCATAGCCGCTTGCGTAACTGCGCACTCCAGGCGAGAACCGCGATCAAGCCGAACTGCTGTACCATCGACACTTGCGTAACCGCTCACTCCCCGCGTGAAACAGGATCCACTGGTAGCTGTTCCATCAGATCATGTCAAGTGTAGAAGCGCGATCACCAGGTTCGAACCGGGAACCCTCCCGCAAGAAACACGTCAGCCTCCAGCCACGAAGAGACCCAAAATGCCGGCACTGTCGCCCTACTGTGACCCCCACGCCTGCTTGCTGGGTGCTCTTCGGCCTGGAAACAATCCTAGGCCTTAGTGCCGCCCCTGGGGTCCCAGCAAGCACGCCGGCGAAAGGGTTAACAACCACAGCAGGCCCAGGGGCGTTGATTCTTTTAATAAACCATTCTGGTGTAACATATTCTTTTGAATTTATTTTTCTACCAGCCTTTTCGTCTTGCAGTTTGTAGTTTCTGATTTTGTTGTTTATGTATCGGTTTAGATTTTCTTCTGTGATTTATGTTCTATTCGTTTCACTCTCATAAAATAACACATCATTAAAGTCGGTGCTTCTTGTCAAAGCGCACCATATCCACTCACGAGTCACCAAGTGCTTCTTATTCCACTCGTGTATTATGATCTTACCATTGATTGAAGCACCTTGTGCAGAATGGCACGTGGTGCAGTAATCGTATCTAAAATGCTTATCTAAGGTAAAGATATCTGTGGTATACTGTTCCTTTGACTTAACATTCTCTAGTATCACTGTGTTACTGCTTATGCTCACTATTCTAAAGCGATAGTTAACATTGAATCTTTTACTTCCGAACTTCTTGTATACTCTACATATCAGTGTCTCACCCACTTCATACTTATCTTTATTGCCTAGGTTCTTGCGTATCTGATTGGACACATACAGACACCTCATGTTTGTATACGCTATGTTGTTATGTGATTGCGTTACATCGTCTGTTGTTTTAAAATATTTCCTTACGAAGTCATCAAGTGGAAGCTTATGCACCCACATGTCGTCATACATGGCATCTAAGATTATTCTGTTCAAATTGGCTTTAGGGTCGTCTTTACCACCATGGCTCGTCGAATCAATCCACTACCCCATACTATTCCCCATAAAATGAGCAAACCTAACCTTGCCCATTTCGGGATGTTACATCACCTGATAAATAGGATGAGATAGAGTATTTTAAGGATAATGGGCTACTAGTTGCGAATTATATGGCTATGTAGGTTTACGGTGATGTAATTACCCAAAACGGGCGACCCCATTACCTTGTCCATTTTGGAGAATTGCACCTTATTTTCTATATGGTAAAGTGTTTTAGGATATTATGGCTACTATCTGGGCCACGGTAGTGCAATTACCCAAAATGGGCAAGGCCTTCCCTGACTGACAATACCTTTCAAAAAAGGAAACATATGAAGACAATCAGGACGAAACCCAGGTCTGAGAATCCCTCATAAAAAAAGTAGCTTATTGGGTAAGGGATTTCTAGGAGAATTTCATATAGGTGACCCTGGGTAACACATCATAGAAAATCCCCTGTATACCTTGCTGGATACCCTATAGCCTATGCATTATGTTACAGAATACTTTCTATAATACAACTTCTACGTTTAGGTTTATCCCTTGTACAATCCCTTATACAACGCCTTATGGAGTTCCGTATAGAATGCCCGAAACAAATGCTATGCAATATGCCCTTCATAGGCCTTATAGAATACCATTTGCAATACCCTTCAAACTACCTGACAGAATACCCTGTGTCTGATACCCTCTGAGTACCCATAGAAGGCCGTAAAGAAAACCATATAGAATACTTGAAGAATACCCTTGGAATGCACCATAGACTGCCTTATAGAATAATTTGCCCACTTGGGATGAACCGCGATTGCACTCAAGCGGCCCCGATTGAACTCAATCGGGGGCCAGATTGAAGCTTGAAGATTGAAGATTTCCGGAGAAAGTTTTCCAGGAAATCTTCAATCCGGAGCCCGATTGAACTCGATCGGCCGCGTTTGAACTCAATCGGGCCAGGGTGGAGTTCACTCAACCACATGGTCTATCGGCTAGCCCCTCCCCTCAAGGATCTACCATTTTCGTGTGGTGGGGCTCTGAACTACACGAAAATGGTAGATCCACATATATGTATGTGTATATATATATATATGTATGAATAAATATAACTATATATAAATATATGCATACGTATATAAGTACATATGTATATATGTATATATATATATATATACATACATACTATATGTATACTATATATATATATATACATATATGTATATGAACAGACGCAAATTGTACGTTTACTGCAAGTCTCCCCGCAAATATTGATCCTGAAAGCATGCTCACCCAATTCCTATAGAGATCCCTGCACACACCCGCCACAACCCGGATCAAGCTTGATAGGACAACTCCACCATTCCCGAGCCTCTTTCCATCGGCAGAAGCCTGTAATGCCTGCAAGTACGCTTCGGAAATCTGGTCTAGCTTGTCATGCACCGGAGTGCGCATGCGGATGGCGCAACTTTCGCAGCTTGCACTCGCAAATGCTGTCGCTTCAAAGAGAAATACATGCAAAATCTTCCGAGCCTCCGTGCAATCTCAACTAACCGAAGCGAAAACCGAACATCCAATTTGACTCACATAGGCATTCCAAGAGCAGCATTGCCACAGCTTTCGTGAAACGTATTGGGAGTATTGGGGCACTTTTAAGCCCGTGCAGCTTTCTTGGATGGATAGTTTGATGTATGTATGGGAATCATTATACATGTACATGTATCTGTTTGCTCGCGCTCCTTTGCTTCGGATTAAAGTTCCAAGTGGGACGTGACCCGCAACATCAGCCCCTCAGGAAGATCAACGCAGATGCATGAACAGGGCATTACCAAGGATTCTTCAGCGCAAGCGCAAAGTCTCAATTTCCAAAACCATCCAGAGCCATGATTTTCAGTCCCTACAGAAATACAGCAGTTATAAGGATTCTTTGTGAAGAGGAAAGGTGCTTTTGAGCTCGCCGAGAGTCACTATCACTCAGAAGATCAGGATCGACTCAAGAGGGCAGTAGCAGATTCGATCATGTGAGACAAGCCCGTAAAGCAAGGGACCTCTGTCTGCATCTCCACTTCCTCCGCACAGTGGCAATGACTGTGCGATGCTGCCTCAGCTACAGCCTTCTGCGAAGAGGCCCTAGTTTCCTTGCTCATGTGCACACCCGCCTGGGCTCTCCGCTGCTCTTGTTTTGCGACCTGTTCAGTGAGGAACTCTGGTCAGAACATTTGGAGGCTGGGTTCAGCTGCAGGACAAGTGCTTCCGGTCCGCATGTCTGAGCTGGGGCCAGTTGTTGCAATCCTTCGCGTAAATCGTAGCTTTCGTGGGACAGGACACATGTATCTTCAAGATGCGACCAGGATCTCACTGATCAGCCGCGTGTGCGCTTCCCCAGCTTTGAACGATTGTGAAATGGACATTCGCACGCAACTCACAACCAACAGATCAAACTGGTAGATGCTGTATGCATACACCTGCAGTAGCTACAGTATCTTTGTTTCATCCGATACCACAGGAAAGGTATCCCGCAAAGTTAGCAAGCCGCGACTGCTTCGAGTGGCCAGCACATACTCCACACGAGCGCTCAGAACACGCCTGCCTTCGACTACCGGATCCTTCAGTGCCACGGGAAAACACAGGGTTCGTCCGTGCTTTGCAGAGATCGGCTTTGGTTGCACCCTTCAGGTCCCGGAATTGACTTGGATGCTTGTCGTAGCTCGTCGATTCTTCAGACTTGTGCAACAAACCAAGACATCCGCGTCTCGGACGAGAACCCTGACCGACCTCTGACTGAGACATCTCGGCGCGCAGAGCAGCGCACTCTTCCAACCTGGAGACGTCGGCAGCTGAAGCAGCTTGCATTCGTTTGGAGCACTTGAGTCGCAAGTCTACGTCGGTGTGCCCCGTCTCCTTGCAGCCGAGCCGCAGCCTGCTCACCTCGTCGCGCAGCGATGAAGACTCCGCCTGTGCCTGCACTAATTTTCTGCACTGCTGAACATCACAACTTGCTTCCCTCTTCAGGCTTGCAACGCTAGCACATCACCCCATGCTACCCTGAAACCCACCCAGTCAGCATGCCTCTGCACCTTGGTTGGCCAGGTGCTGCTTGCTGGACTCCAGCTCCGTATACAACACCTGGGACAAAGGCAGAGGGAGGTAGGAGGGAAGGAGGGAGGAGCGGGGGAGCGTCTGTGGACTCAAAACTTCGGCATCACGCATTGCCCTCCAGGCTGACAGTTTTACCCTGGCTTTGTTGCAGCACAGTACAGGATCGGATGGGAACATGGATTGCTCTCCGATCTGACGTGCCCCAGCCTTCCGCAGCTCAGTTTTGGCGCCCTGCTGGACTCTGGACTCCAAGCAGGGGAGTGTCAGCACTTACCGAGAGCCTTCTCTAAACAACATGTTGTCCTGGCTTAGAGATTTCATGCACTTCTTCTGGGTTGGTGCGATGAACCAACTGCAGTAGATCCTGAAACAGTCTCTCGATGGGGTCCTGCTGTAGACATTCTGCACTGCCGTCGATAGGAAACCAACATGCTTGTTGATCGCCGTAGGCAAACGCTTCGCATCTTGAAAACAATGCCGCTGTGCAGGCGGAACAGCAGTATGGCAGCATTGTCCGTGAGTCTTGGAAAGATGGTGACAGGTCTGTTCGATCTGCCTTGGTGATTGCGGCTCTAGTAAGACTGGCCACTGAATGGCATTTTAACAGCATGTGCTGCTACATCGCGGTGCTATAAGTCGGCGACAAACAGTTGAATGGGATGAAACACATGGTTTGTGGTAATGAAAACAGTTCTTACAACTGCAACAACGCTTTTCCTTCTTCCGCACAAAGGCCTGCATTTCGCTCCGGCGACAGCACCACCTAGAATAAACCAACACCCCCACCCCCGCTCCCGTAGAAGGCGTGGCGAACTCGCCAAAGCAATCGCAACACCGTTGCAAAGGTAGGGAGAGAAAGACGTCATCCTCTGGATGTTTGTTGTAGTTCGTCGATTCTTCAGACTTGTGCAACAAACCAAGACATCCGCGTCTCGGACGAGAACCCTGACCGACCTCTGACTGAGACATCTCGGCGCGCAGAGCAGCGCACTCTTCCAACCTGGAGACGTCGGCAGCTGAAGCAGCTTGCATTCGTTTGGAGCACTTGAGTCGCAAGTCTACGTCGGTGTGCCCCGTCTCCTGCAGCCGAGCCGCAGCCTGCTCACCTCGTCGCGCAGCGATGAAGACTCCGCCTGTGCCTGCACTAATTTTCTGCACTGCTGAACATCACAACTTGCTTCCCTCTTCAGGCTTGCAACGCTAGCACATCACCCCATGCTACCCTGAAACCCACCCAGTCAGCATGCCTCTGCACCTTGGTTGGCCAGGTGCTGCTTGCTGGACTCCAGCTCCGTATACAACACCTGGGACAAAGGCAGAGGGAGGTAGGAGGGAAGGAGGGAGGAGGGAGGGAGGGATTTGGGGAGGACTTATCAGCGAAAGCTCCTTCCAAATTCTGACGAGTCAGTCACACTCCAGAAAATGCCGATCGGATTTGTTATATATCTACAGCATTGGTGTGTATCAGATCACCTCGAACTTCGCGTCTTGCAGATGCTGGGGACTTGCTGGCCGCGGCTCCTGGATCCGTGAATCCACGAGATTTGTTCAAGCTAACAAGTCTGAGACTGCGATGTGTGCAGGTATGTCGGCTTGCGACCCAGCCGTGCAACTGCCCCTTCAGCTTGGGCTTGAGCACACTGGGGCCCTGCAGTACGGGTCTAACCTTTCCTCGACACTACCAATCAGTGAAAACGACGCAACAGGACTACGATGTCCAAGAGACCTGTGCCGCTGTTTGCAAAAAAACTGCTGTTGCAGCTCTTTACCTGTCAAGTGCAAGAGGAGCACCACAGTCATTGTGCCGATGTGTCGAGCACAGAATAGTCCATTTGTCTTTCGGCTCTTTCTGGCTCGTGCTGTAGCTGTGAGACTTGGTGGGGCCCCCTTTTGACTTCTGACATCAAATGTATGCTGCACTGCACTTGCGATGCGATCACACAGCATGCCACAGAGTATGGCACCATAGAGTCCAAGTTGGCCCCGAGCCTACATGGCCTGGCCTACGTGCTTTCTGCCCCAGAGCCCCAACACTTGGAGGTCTGGTCATCAAGGATGGCACAGCTATGCCTTGACTTGAACGCCAAAACAGTCAGATCTTCAAGCTTCGTGAAGTACCCTCGCGCATGAAACTTTGGGCCCAGATGCCAGGAACCTGCCAAGAGCCCAATCGCTCGCCGCCCAGTCCCTAAGGGCTCTGGGACCTGAGCACCAGCGGTCACCAGCGTGCAGGAGGCTGCTGGAGGCTGCGTCCTCTGAGCCGAGGAGCCAAAGCCTCGCCAAGCTCCCATGGCCAAAGACCGATGGAGGCGGGACCCCCTGTGCGAGCCTTCGAAACGAACAGCGTTTCCAACAGCAGATCCGATCTCGTGCAGGGGCTGAGGCTGGCCTGCCCCTGGCCGTTGGCACCCCAACACTTCACGCGGCCTTGGCTTCGATGCGTTTTTTTCGTGTCCTGTGGCCTCCTGCCAAACCGTAACCGAGGGGCCGTCGTCTAGCCGAGCGCAGCTGTGCTCCAGGCCAAGCCGCACCTCCACAGCCTTGCAAGGTCCCAGTCCGACCTCGGACGGGCAGCTCAAACCGAAGCTTTTTCCGAGCAGCGGCGCTTTGCAGCCGCGAAGCCGGGGTCAGGAATTCGCCCATCTCCTGCATAAAAGCACAATCTGTACAGGTTTCTCAGGAGTCTTGTTTCTTTCGTGCCTTCGGGTCGTCCCCACGGTTGGCGGAGTCGCCCAAGCCAAGCTGGCCACGATTATTGGCACCCCAACACTTCACCTTCCAAATGTTCGGACTGTATGCAACACTCTGAGGCCAGAGGGCTTGATCAGGCTCTCCTGGCCGGTCTGCAGAAGGGCGCAGCTGTGGTAAGCCCCGCTGCTAATCTGCACTACCTGGCCCACAGCATCCAAAAGCCAGTGCAAGCCCAACCGCGACCTCGCAGCTGACCGCACCTGGGCTCCCAACAGGACCGGTGCCTGCCAGCAGGAGCAAAAAGGGCGGACAAATGGACGAGAGTCCAAGCGCCTGCTGGGTCGGACGCGGCAGTGTGTCACCCTGGCCCAGCTGACCTCCACAAGCGCTCACTCATTGATGCACGGAGGCTTGCAAGGAGGACGACGGCCTTTGTCATTTTGGCCCCAGCAGCTTAGCTCCGTCCGATGGGAGTTGAAGCGAAGAAGAGCACACTGAAAGCCTTGCAGCCGAGCAGTAGCGACCAGTTCAACACGTAGCCGGGACCTTTCCTGTCCTCTTTTCACTACGAGCAGCCCACACCCTCTGTGCGCTGTTCCACGAATGTCGCCACCACTAGCCCAGGCACGCATAGCAGCAGAAGTCGCATGACCCCACTTAGACAGTGCTTGTCTGGCTCGGATCGTTAGAGGGAATGGAACTGCTTTCATCTTTGCACTACAACATCACAGGGTTGTCATTGCCGGAGTGCTAGAAGTTCCCTCACAAACAGATCCGTTGAGAATTCAAGGATTCCTGCTTCGGGACGAGGGTATATGGGCCTTGTCAGTCTTCTCAAAAGAGGAACAGCCTTACAACATCAAGTCTGTTACCGGAGCTTTTTCCGGGAATGCTGAAGGCTACTGCGATTGGCTGCCATGTAAGATGTCGATGGACATCTGCACATAGTGCTTGAGCAGAATCAATCAGGTCCGAAGCATTGCAGAAGCTCTCCGCTCCCTCTCCCTGCTTTAATCTTCTCATCGGGTCAGACACAAGGAAGTCTTGAACCGAACCTGCACGGCCTGCATGGTACAAATTCCATATGCTTGACTGCGGCTGGTCCTTGAGCTCGGCAGGCTTTGCCCGATGTTTGTGGTGCAGAGAGACCTGCAAGTATGCAAGGCTCAAAATCCGGCACTGCCCGCACCTGCTGCAACCAGCTCTAATATCACGCTTTAGCAGCGCCCGCACTCGCAACTTCACCTGTGCCGCTCGTCTCTGGTAGTCTTTGGCCGAACGTCGTCGGCCCAGCAAGGGGCGCTCCTGTCCAGCTAGTGAACAGCCCGATATCATGGCCTTCTTCACTGGACCCGAGCGACGGACTCATGCAACCTGCACCCCTCTCTACACTCCAACCTCCAGCTTCACAGCAGCTGTCTGCACCTGCCAGTCAAAAGAAGTCATGGGCTCCTGAGGATTCTCTGCTTAGGCCCTCTGAAGTGTCGAAGCAGAACACAGGACTTTCAAGCTGCTGTCTCCTCTGACGTCTTAACTGCAAAATGCTTCTGACTCCTGACTGCAGCTGCAACTGCCCACTGCTGACACATGCTGACACTGCTGCGCAGGAGATCTTGGAAGCTCACGAGGAAGGCAGGTCTTCCGACGCCCACCGCACCTCGGAGCGTCTTAGGCTCGACTGGAGCTCCAGGTCGGCCTGCTCGGCCTGCGGTCACGAGAATTCCGTTTTGAGTCCCGAGTCCCCAGAAATGGGGCCACCGCCTGGGCCGTGGGCTGCTCTTTCTTTGCCACCTGCCCAGCTGCCCAGCCCTGTGAGAACACTGGTGAGCCTAATTCTGGTGCATCGTAGGTCTCGCAGGGCTGGCACAGGAGTGGGCAGAGAGTAGAGAGGAATGTATCTCACGGTGGAACACTGATGTACACCTCCTCAGCTTTCAAGGATTGCAGAATCGATTGCGTCGCCCTGCTATTCGCATGTAGCCCAAAGCCGTTTCAGCCAGTGCCTTCAAACAACCGACAGTGATCAAACTTCTGGATGTTCCGCCGGCAGAACCAAACTTTGTTTCATTCGACAACACAGGCAAGGTAACCCACAAAGCTAGCAAGCCGCGACTGTTTCGCCCGTACTGCTCCCTAGCACATGCAAAACACGTGTTCGTCCGCGCTGTGCAGAGATCTGCCTTGATTACATCATGCAGGTCCCGGAGTTGACTTGGACTTTTGTCGTAGTTCGTCGATTCTTCAGACTTATGCGACAAGCAAAGCCAGGCATCACCGAGGTATCACCGTCTGGCATGAGAACTCCCGCCGACCTCTGACTGAGACATCTCGGCTCGCATGGCAGCACACTCTTCCAACCTGGACACATTTGCAGCTCTAGCATACGGCGATATCTGGAGCACTTGAGTCGCAAGTCTACGTCGAGATCATCACAGGCTCATGCCTGCGTGCAGGTCTCCTTGCGGTCGAGCCGCTGCCTGCCGACCTCCTCGCGTAGAGACGACGCCTCTGTCTGCGCCTGTGGTTCTTCGGGCGTTCTGCACTGCGGCAAGTAGCGACTTTCTTCCAACTTTGCTTTCGCAGCACATTGCAACTACTGCACACAAGTCTTTTGCTGCTCACAGTCGGCGTTAGAAGGACGAACTCCCTATGCTTCCCTGATCCGAACGAGCACGCCTCTGCAGCTAGCTGCTGCTTGCTAGACTCGAGCTCCTTCAAAGCCACCTGAGACGAGAAGAGACAGGAACAGTGAGGACCTGCCTTGCGAACGACTGCCAATGCATCCCGGAACACCCGTTCGCTCTAGCTCTGCTTCCCAGAACCTGCAACTGCCTTCGGCTTCTGCTGCTTCCAACATTCAATAACTCCCTGCCGGCCTCTGACGTGCCAAGAGCGGCTCGCAGTGAAGCACACTCTGACAACCTGAAGGAGGGTGGCAGCCGGAGCATGCCGCTACATCTCAAGGACTTGAGGTGAAATCTTACATTCCGATCATCAGAGACTCATTCGTGCAGGTGACTCATTCGTGCAGGTGGCCCCTCTCTTTGCAGCCGAACTGCTGCCTGTCAACACCCTCGCGTAGGGACGACGCCTCCGTCTGCGCCTGTGGTTCTGTGGGCATTCTGCACTGCGGCATGCAGCGACTTTCTTCCAAATTCAGGTTCGCAGCACCATGCAACTACTGCACACAAGTCTTTTGCTGCTCACGCTCGGCGTTAGAAGGACGAACTCCCTATGCTTCCCTGATCCGAATGAGCACGCCTCTGCAGCTAGCTGCTGCTTGCTAGACTCGAGCTCCTTCAAAGCCACCTGAGACGAGAAGAGAAAGGAACCGTGAGGACCTGCCTTGCGAACGACTGCCAATGCATCCCGGAACACCCGTTCGCTCTAGCTCTGCTTCCCAGAACATGCAACTGCCTTCGGCTTCTGCTGCTTCCAACATTCAATAACTCCCTGCCGGCCTCTGACGTGCCAAGAGCGGCTCGCAGTGAAGCACACTCTGACAACCTGAAGCAGGGTGGCAGCCGGAGCATGCCGCTACATCTCAAGGACTTGAGGTACACTCTTACATTCCGATCATCAGAGACTCATTCGTGCAGGTGGTCCCTCTCCTTGCAGCCGAGCCGCTGCCTGTCAACCTCCTCGCGTAGGGACGACGCCTCTGTCTGCGCCTGACGTTCTGCGAGCATTCGGCACTGCGGCACGTAGCGACTTTCTTCCAACTTTGCTTTCGCAGCACCTGGCAACTACGGCCTGCGCTACCTGCGCTCTCTCCTGAAAATTCTCGGATCCAACCGAATGAGCACGCCTCTGCAACAAGCTGCTGCTTGCTAGACTCGCACACCTGGAATCGACAGGAAAAAGAGCGAGGGACGGATACAGCAGTTCGAAGCAACCAAAACAGGATCCTATTTCAATAGTCAAAAGCACTGCCACAGCACGATAAGCACATGTTACGAGCATGTTCAACAGCGTGCCGGTAGGATTCCAACAGCAGGCTCACAACTTTTGCTAGCACGCGTCACTGCACTTCGCCAGGTTGTTCGCAAGAATTCAAGTCCAGTGGACAGTACTCTGTAGCGGAGCGATACCGGGCAACTGACATCTATCTGCTGTAGCTACTTGGGCAGAGGTCTAGTAGGATTCGCACGGACTCGCACCAACTATATCATAGACTATTGGAGGAGTGTGAAGACTAGAATCTTCAATAAAGGGCAATAAAGTGCAAAAACCCGTGTCCTGCTGCTACCCTGCTTTTCCGAGCAACACCCCTTGAACGGTGGTTGGAATTAGAATCAAAGTGACACTACAAGACGAGAGCGTACTTTTTTCCTGCTTCCTCTGCCTTTCCTTCACTGAAATTCCGGACATCTGTTCCGGCGGCACCAGCAGCCAGAACAGGCCAGCACCCCCCGGTCCCTCCTGCTCTCCTGCTTTCAAGGTCACGGGAAGCCCCAACGCAGGCAGCGACGGATTTGTGAAAATTATCCCTTTGCTAGGGCCCCTCATAACGACACAAACGAAGCGTCAGCGCTCGAACAACTCCCTGCCGGCCTCTGACTGACAAAGAGCGGCTTGCAGTGAAGCGCACTCTGACAACCTGGGCGGAGCCATACATCTGAAGGATTTGATTCGCACTTTTACGTTACGATCGTCAAAGATTCCTTCCTTGCAGTCGAGCCGCTGTCTGCCAACCTCCTCGCGTAGAGACGACGCCTCCGTCTGCGCCTGTGGTTCTTTCTTCGGGCATTCTGCACTGCGGCATGTAGCGACTTTCTTCCAAATTCAGGTTCGCAGCACCATGCAACTACTGCACACAAGTCTTTTGCCGCTCAGGGTCGGCGTTAGAAGGACGAACTCCCTATGCTTCCCTGATCCGAATGAGCACGCCTCTGCAGCTAGCTGCTGCTTGCTAGACTCGAGCTCCTTCAAAGCCACCTGAGACGAGAAGAGAAAGGAACCGTGAGGACCTGCCTTGCGAACGACTGCCAATGCATCCCGGAACACCCGTTCGCTCTAGCTCTGCTTCCCAGAACATGCAACTGCCTTCGGCTTCTGCTGCTTCCAACATTCAATAACTCCCTGCCGGCCTCTGACGTGCCAAGAGCGGCTCGCAGTGAAGCACACTCTGACAACCTGAAGGAGGGTGGCAGCCGGAGCATGCCGCTACATCTCAAGGACTTGAGGTGAACTCTTACATTCCGATCATCAGAGACTCATTCGTGCAGGTGGTCCCTCTCCTTGCAGCCGAACCGCTGCCTGTCAACCTCCGCGCGTAGGGATGACGCCTCTGTCTGCACCTGACGTTCTGCGAGCATTCTGCACTGCGGCACGTAGCGACTTTCTTCCAACTTTGCTTTCGCAGCACCTGGCAACTACGGCCTGCGCTACCTGCGCTATCTCCTGAAAATTCTTGGATCCAACCGAATGAGCACGCCTCCGCAACAAGCTGCTGCTTGCTAGACTCGCACACCTGGAATCGACAGGAAGAAGAGCGAGGGACGGATACAGCAGTTCGAAGCAACCAAAACAGGATCCTATTTCAATAGTCAATAGCACTGCCACAGCACGGTAAGCACATGTTACGAGCACGTTTAACAGCGTGCCGGTAGGATTCCAACAGCAGGCTCACAACTTTTGCTAGCACGCGTCACTGCACTTCGCCAGGTTGTTCGCAAGAATTCAAGTCCAGTTGACAGTACTCTGTAGTGGAGCGATACCAGGCAACTGACATCTATCTGCTGTAGCTACTTGGGCAGACGTCTAGTAGGATTCGCACGGACTCGCACAAACTATATCATAGACGATTGGAAGAGTGTGAAGACTAGAATCTTCAATAAAGTGCAATAAAGTACAAAAACCGTGTCCTGCTGCTACCCTGCTTTCCCGAGCAACACCCCTTGAACTGTGGTTGGAATTAGAATCAAAGTGACACTACAAGACGAGAGCGTACTTTTTTCCTGCTTCCTCTGCCTTTCCTTCACTGAAATTCCGGACATCTGTTCCGGCGGCACCAGCAGCCAGAACAGGCCAGCACCCCCCGCGGTCCCTCCTGCTCTCCTGCTTTCAAGGTCACGGGAAGCCCCAACGCAGGCAGCGACGGATTTGTGAAATTTATCCCTTTGCTAGGGCCCCTCATAACGACACAAACGAAGCGTCAGCGCTCGAACAACTCCCTGCCGGCCTCTGACTGACAAAGAGCGGCTTGCAGTGAAGCGCACTCTGCCAACCTGGGCGGAGCCATACATCTGAAGGATTTGATTCGCACTTTTACGTTACGATCGTCAAAGATTCCTTCCTTGCAGTCGAGCCGCTGTCTGCCAACCTCCTCGCGTAGAGACGACGCCTCCGTCTGCGCCTGTGGTTCTTTCTTCGGGCATTCTGCACTGCGGCATGTAGCGACTTTCTTCCAAATTCAGGTTCGCAGCACCATGCAACTACTGCACACAAGTCTTTTGCTGCTCACGCTCGGCGTTAGAAGGACGAACTCCCTATGCTTCCCTGATCCGAATGAGCACGCCTCTGCAGCTAGCTGCTGCTTGCTAGACTCGAGCTCCTTCAAAGCCACCTGAGACGAGAAGAGAAAGGAACCGTGAGGACCTGCCTTGCGAACGACTGCCAATGCATCCCGGAACACCCGTTTGCTCTAGCTCTGCTTCCCAGAACATGCAACTGCCTTCGGCTTCTGCTGCTTCCAACATTCAATAACTCCCTGCCGGCCTCTGACGTGCCAAGAGCGGCTCGCAGTGAAGCACACTCTGACAACCTGAAGGAGGGTGGCAGCCGGAGCATGCCGCTACATCTCAAGGACTTGAGGTGCACTCTTACATTCCGATCATCAGAGACTCATTCGTGCAGGTGGTCCCTCTCCTTGCAGCCGAACCGCTGCCTGTCAACCTCCGCGCGTAGGGATGACGCCTCTGTCTGCACCTGACGTTCTGCGAGCATTCTGCACTGCGGCACGTAGCGACTTTTTCCAACTTTGCTTTCGCAGCACCTGGCAACTACGGTCTGCGCTACCTGCGCTATCTCCTGATTATTCTCGGATCCAACCGAATGAGCACGCCTCTGCAACAAGCTGCTGCTTGCTAGACTCGCACACCTGGAATCGACAGGAAGAAGAGAGAGGGACGGATACAGCAGTTCGAAGCAACCAAAACAGGATCATCTTTCAATAGTCAAAAGCACTGCCACAGCACGATAACCACATGTTACGAGCAGGTTCAACAGTGTGCCGGTGGATTCCAATTGCAGATGCACTCTGCCAGTTTGTTCGCAAGAACTCAAGTGCAGTTGACAGTACTCTGTAGTGGAGCGATACCAGGCAACTGACATCTATCTGCTGTAGCTACTTGGGCAGACGTCTAGTAAGATTCGCACGGACTCGCACAAACTATATCATAGACGATTGCAAGAGCGTGAAGATTAGAGTACGTGCTCAATGAAGGGCAAGAGTGCGAAGATCATGTCCTGCTGCGACCCTGCTTTCCTGAGAAACACCCCTTGAACTGTGGTTGGAATTAGAATCAAAGTGACACTACAAAACGAGAGCGTACCTGTTTCCTGCTTCCTCTGCCTTTTCTCCTTTCACTGAAATTCCGGACATCTGTTCCGAACAGGCCAGCACCCCCCCCGGTCCCTCCTGCTCTCCTGCTTTCAAGGTCACGGGAAGCCCCAACGCAGGCAGCGACGGATTTGTGAAAATTATCCCTTTGCTAGGGCCCCTCGAACAACTCCCTGCCGGCCTCTGACTGACAAAGAGCGGCTTGCAGTGAAGCGCACTCTGCCAACCTGGGCGGAGCCATACATCTGAAGGATTTGATTCGCACTTTTACGTTACGATCGTCAAAGATTCCTTCCTTGCAGTCGAGCCGCTGTCTGCCAACCTCCTCGCGTAGAGACGACGCCTCCGTCTTCCCCTGTGGTTCTTTCTTCGGGCATTCTGCACTGCGGCATGTAGCGACTTTCTTCCAAATTCAGGTTCGCAGCACCATGCAACTACTGCACACAAGTCTTTTGCTGCTCACGCTCGGCGTTAGAAGGACGAACTCCCTATGCTTCCCTGATCCGAATGAGCACGCCTCTGCAGCTAGCTGCTGCTTGCTAGACTCGAGCTCCTTCAAAGCCACCTGAGACGAGAAGAGAAAGGAACCGTGAGGACCTGCCTTGCGAACGACTGCCAATGCATCCCGGAACACCCATTCGCTCTAGCTCTGCTTCCCAGAACATGCAACTGCCTTCGGCTTCTGATGCTTCCAACATTCAATAACTCCCTGCCGGCCTCTGACGTGCAAAGAGCGGCTCGCAGTGAAGCACACTCTGACAACCTTAAGAAACACAGCCGTAGCATGCAGCTACATCTCAAGGACTTGGGTCGGACTTTTACATTGCGACCACCAGAGAATCATTGCTGCAGGTGCCCAGGTGGCCCCCCTCCTTGCAGTCGAGCCGCTGCCTGCCAACCTCCTCGCGTAGGGACGACGCCTCATTCTGCGCCTGTGGTTCGTCGGGCATTCCGCACTGCGGCACGTCAGGACTGTCTTCCAACTTCAGGTTCGCATCACCGTGCAACTACTGCGCAGGTCTTGGGTCTGTGCCCCCTAGCTCGCCTCTGCAACCAGCTGCTGCTTGCTGGACTCGCCCACCTGGAATCGACACGAAGAGGGGAGCAGGAGGGATAGAAGATGGGCAGGAAACAGAAAGAAAAACAGAGCGAGAGAGAGAGAGAGAGAGAGAGAGAGAAAGAAGGAGAGATCGCATCTCTGCATCGGCACAAGCCGCACACAAAAAGTGCCCGGTGCTCTAGGTCTGGCAGTATGACAGGGGACAGACATCTATCTGCTGACGTCTAGAAAACATTCGCACAAACTATATCATAGACTACTGGAAGAGTACGAAGAATAGACTGCCGTTGCAATGGAAGTGTGCCCCGCAATCCTATGAAAACCAGTCAAAGACCCCTTGAACTGCGGTTGGAATTAGAACCAACAATTCCAAGTGACACTGCAAAACGAAAGCATACTGATTTCCTGCTTCCTGTGCCCTTCTTTCCTCCCTTTACATTCCGGACATCTGTTCCGGCAGCGCCAGCCGCCAGAACAGGCCAGCACCCCCCCCGGTCCCTCCTGCTCTCCTGCTTTCAAGGTCACGGGAAGCCCCAACGCAGGCAGCGACGGATTTGTGAAAATTATCCCTTTGCTAGGGCCCCTCATAACGACACAAACGAAGCGTCAGCGCTCGAACAACTCCCTGCCGGCCTCTGACTGACAAAGAGCGGCTTGCAGTGAAGCGCACTCTGCCAACCTGGGCGGAGCCACACATCTGAAGGATTTGATTCGCACTTTTACGTTACGATCGTCAAAGATTCCTTCCTTGCAGTCGAGCCGCTGTCTGCCAACCTCCTCGCGTAGAGACGACGCCTCCGTCTGCGCCTGTGGTTCTTTCTTCGGGCATTCTGCACTGCGGCATGTAGCGACTTTCTTCCAAATTCAGGTTCGCAGCACCATGCAACTACTGCACACAAGCCTTTTGCGCTCAGGGTCGGCGATAGAAGCGCGAACTCCCAATGCTTTCCTGATCCGAATGAGCACGCCTCTGCAGCTAGCTGCTGCTTGCTAGACTCCAGCTCCTTCAAAGCCACCTGAAACGACTTGGAGGGAGTCGCGGAGCGAGAATACAAAGAGAACCGTTCTGCATCGTAAGACATGCATCTGCCTTCGGTTTCTGCTTCCAACCTCAAATGACTCCCTGCCGGCCTCTGTCTTGCAAAGAGCAGCTCGCAGTGAAGTGCACTCTGACAACCTGGGGGAGTTTGGCAGCCGTAGCATGCAGCTACATCTCAAGGACTTGAGTCGCGCTCTGACATTCCGATCCTCATTCGTGCAAGTCGCCACTCTCCTTGCAGTCGAGCCGCTGCCTGTCGACCTGCTCGCGTAGGGATGACGACTCTGTCTGCGCCTGACGCTCTTCGAGCATTATGCATTGCGGCATATGACGACGTTCTTCCAGCTGGATGGAGTCTTTCAGCACCATGCAACTACTGTACACAGGTCTTTTGACCCGTGCGGTCGGCATCAGCAGTGAGAACTCCCTGTGCTTCTCTGATCCGGCTGAGCACGCCTCTGCAACCAGCTGCTCCTTGCTGGAATCGCACACCTGGAATCGGAGAGGGAGAGGGCAAGGCACACAGAGACAGAGAGGGAGAGAGATCGCACCCTGCGTTGGCACAAGTCGCTCATAAAATGTGCCCCGTGCTCTAAGTCTCATAAACACCGACACGAGGACTCCTCGGAAGCGGGCCTTCATCACGAGTTCCTGTGCAGGGTGACTGCTGTGTGCTTTGCAGTGACGACGCTGGCCGTTGCTGCCGCCGACGGCTGAGGATAACATGCCGCCCTCGTTCATGGAAGTGCCTATATCTACGCAGAGCTTTCATGCATAATGGCCAAAACTCGTCATATGTCATAGCCCTCACCAGCATCATCGCTCTTTGAGTGTCCGCAAGACATGTACAAGTCTTGCATTAATCGCTGCTTTCTGTCTTGGGTACTTCCTTTCCTAGGTTTGGGATTGGGATTGATTCAGCAACAGCACAAGAGGCTGTGACAGCGATTCGAGGCCAACCTAAACAGCACTTGATTCAATCTTCCAAAGCACTGTGACAGCATGACAATCACATGTTACGAGAATGCTCAACAGCAAGCAGCATGCTGGTAGGATTCCAGCAGCAGCCTCACGCATCTTGCTAGCACATGCCCATGCATTCCGCCAGGTTGTTAATAATTATTCATGCGGAGTTCTAGCGGCGATACCGGGAAGCAACCTTATGCTACTCGCAGGTTTGCATCCTGATAGTATCTCCACGGCAGCTCAACAAACTTTAAGTAGAAGGTGCATGGCACTATGACAGCATTTTGCTCCGGTCCTGGAAGGGGACAGACATCTGTCTGCTGCAGCTACTTGAGCAGACGTCTAGCAAGCGTTCGCGCAAACTATGTCATAGACTAGTGGAAGAGTATGAAGAATGGACTGCGCTTTCGATGGAAGTGCAATGGTGCATAGACTGCATAGACCAGGTCCTGCTGCTACATGGCAATCCTATGAAAACCAATCAAAGATCCCTTGAACTGTGGTTGGAATTAGAACCAAGAACTCCAAAGTAACACTGCAAAACGAAAGCATACTTGTTGCACGTGCCCTTCTTTCCTTCCTTTACATTCCGGACATCTGTTCCGGCAGCGCCAGCCGCCAGAACAGGCCAGCACCCCCCCAATCCCTTCTGCTCTCATGAGTTCAAGGTCACGGGAAGCTCCGACGCTGGCAGCGACGGATTTGTGAAAATATGGGTTTGCAAGGGCCCCTCATAACAACAAAAACGAAGCGTCCACGCTCGAACAACTCCCTGCCGGCCTCTGACTGACAAAGAGCGGCTTGCAGTGAAGCGCACTCTGCCAACCTGGGCGGAGCCATAGCATGCAGCTACATCTGAACGATTTGAGTCCAACTTTTACGTTGTGATCGTCAGAGATTTCTCCTTGCAGTCGAGCCGCTGCCTGCCGACCTCCTCGCGTAGAGACGACGCCTCCATCTGCGCCTGTGGTTCTTCGGGCATTCTGCACTGCGGCATGTAGCGACTTTCTTCCAACTTCAGGTCGTTTGCTGCTCAGGGTCGGCAGTAGAAGCCTGATCCGAATGAGCAGGCCTCTGCGACCAGCTGCTGCTTGCTAGACTCCAGCTCCTTGGAAGCCACCTGAAACGAGAAGAGAGAGAACCGTATTGACGCGCCCTGCGATCGACGGTCAACGCATCCCAGAAGATCCGCTCTCGCTCTGCTTCCAAAGACATGCAACTGCCTTCGGTTTCTGCTGAACTCCCTGCCCGTCGGCCTCCGACGCGCAAAGAGCGGCTCGCAGTGAAGCACACTCCGCCAACCTGAAGAAACATAGCTGTAGCATTCACCTACGTCTGAAGGACTTGAGTCAAACTTTTACATTGCGACCGTCAGAGAATCATTGCTGCAGGTGGACCCCCTCCTTGCGGTCGAGCCGCTGCCTGCCAACCTCCTCGCATAGAGACGACGCCTCCGTCTGCGCCTGTGGTTCGTCGGGCATTCGGCACTGCGGCACGTCAGGACTGTCTTCCAACTTCAGGTTCTCAGCACCGTGAAACTACCACTGCACAGGTCTTGTGTTAACACAGCAGCGCGAACTCCCTATGATTCCCTGGCACGCCTCTGCAACTAGCTGCTGCTTGCTGGACTCGCCGACCTGGAATCGACACGAAGAAGGGAGCGAGAGGGATAGAGGATCGGCAGGAAACAGAAAAACAAGAAAGAGCGAGAGAGATAGATAGATTATCTTGAGAAAGAAAGAGAGAGAGAGAGAGAGAGAGAGAGAGAGAGAGAGAGAGAGAGAGAGAGCGCTCAATCAAAGGGAGAGGTAGAGAGAGAGAGAGAAGGCGAGGGATCGCATCTCTGTGTAGGCACACGTCTCACGCAAATTGTGCCCGGTGCTCTAGGTCTCATTTGGTCGGTGTAATTCAATACTGCAGCACGAGGTCTCCGGCAGGATTCCAACAGCAGTTTCACGATTCTTTCTAGCACATGTCGATGCATTCCGCCAGGTTGTTCGTAATAAATCAAGCGGAGTTCTAGCAGTACTCATTAGTAGAGCGATACCAGGAAACCAACTTATGCTACTCGCAGCATAGCAAGCCCTTGGTTTGCATCCTCTGATCGTGTCTCCACGGCAGCTCAACAAACGTTAAGTGGAAGGTGAATGGCAGTATGACAGCATTTTGCTCCGGTCCTGAAAGGGGACAGACATCTATCTGCTGCAGCTACTTGGGCAGACGTCTAGCAAGCGTTCGCGCAAACTATGTCATAGACTAGTGGAAGAGTATGAAGAATGGACTGCGCTTTCGATGGAAGCGCAATGGTGCATAGACAGCATAGACCAGGTCCTGCTGCTACATGGCAATCCTATGAAAACCCATCAAAGACCCCTTGAACTGCGGTTGGAATTAGAACCAACAATTCCAAGTGACCCTGCAAAACGAAAGCATACTGATTTCCTGCTTCCTGTGCCCTTCTTTCCTTCCTGTACATTCCGGACATCTGTTCCGGCAGCGCCAGCCGCCAGAACAGGCCAGCACCCCCCCAATCCCTCCGACGCTGGCAGCGACGGATTTGTGAAAATATGGGTTTGCTAGGGCCCCTCATAACAACAAAAAAGAAGCGACAGCGCTCGAACAACTCCCTGCCGGCCTCTGACTGACAAAGAGCGGCTTGCAGTGAAGCGCACTCTGCCAACCTGGGCGGAGCCATAGCACGCAGCTACATCTGAACGATGTGAGTCCAACTTTTACGTTGTGATTCGTGATCGTCAGAGATTTCTCCTTGCAGTCGAGCCGCTGCCTGCCGACCTCCTCGCGTAGAGACGACGCCTCCATCTGCGCCTGTGGTTCTTCGGGCATTCTGCACTGCGGCATGTAGCGACTTTCTTCCAACTTCAGGTCGTTTGCTGCTCAGGGTCGGCAGTAGAAGCCTGATCCGAATGAGCAGGCCTCTGCGACCAGCTGCTGCTTGCTAGACTCCAGCTCCTTGGAAGCCACCTGAAACGAGAAGAGGGAGAACCGTATTGACGCGCCCTGCGATCGACGGTCAACGCATCCCAGAAGATCCGCTCTCGCTCTGCTTCCAAAGACATGCAACTGCCTTCGGTTTCTGCTGAACTCCCTGCCCGTCGGCCTCCGACGCGCAAAGAGCGGCTCGCAGTGAAGCACACTCCGCCAACCTGAAGAAACATAGCTGTAGCATTCACCTACGTCTGAAGGACTTGAGTCAAACTTTTACATTGCGACCGTCAGAGAATCATTGCTGCAGGTGGACCCCCTCCTTGCGGTCGAGCCGCTGCCTGCCAACCTCCTCGCATAGAGACGACGCCTCCGTCTGCGCCTGTGGTTCGTCGGGCATTCGGCACTGCGGCACGTCAGGACTGTCTTCCAACTTCAGGTTCTCAGCACCGTGAAACTACCACTGCACAGGTCTTGTGTTAACACAGCAGCGCGAACTCCCTATGATTCCCTAGCACGCCTCTGCAACTAGCTGCTGCTTGCTGGCCTCGCCGACCTGGAATCGACACGAAGAAGGGAGCGGGAGGGACAGAGGATTGACAGCAAACAGAAAGAAAAGGAAAGAGTGAGAGAGAGGAAAGAGAGAGAGAGAGAGAAGAGAGAGAGAGAGACCTGGAGAGAGAGATAGAGAGAGAGAGAGAGAGAGAGAGAGAGAGAGACCTGGAGAGAGAGAGAGAGAGAGAGAGCGAGGCCTGGAGAGAGAGAGAGAGAGAGACAGAGAGCGCTAAAAGAAAGGGAGGGAGAGAGAGCGAGAGAGAGAGAGAGAGAGAAGCGCGCGAGAGAGAGAGAGAGAAGGAGAGAGATCGCGTCTCTGTGTAGGCACACGTCTCACACCAATTGTGCCCGGTGCTCTAGGTCTCATTTAATTTGGTCGGTGTAATTCAATACTGCAGCACGAGGTCTCCGGCAGGATTCCAACAGCAGCTTCACGATTCTTTCTAGCACATGTCGATGCATTCCGCCAGGTTGTTCGTAATAAATCAAGCGGAGTTCTAGCAGTACTCTGTAGTAGAGCGATACCAGGAAACCAACTTATGCTACTCGCAGCATAGCAAGCCTTTGGTTTTCATCCTTATCGTGTCTCCACGGCAGCTCAACAAACGTTAAGTGGAAGGTGAATGGCAGTATGACAGCATTTTGCTCCGGTCCTGGAACGGGACAGACATCTGTCGGCTGCAGCTACTTGGGCAGACGTCTAGCAAGCATTCGCGCAAACTATATCATAGACCGGTGGAAGAGTATGAAGAATGGACTGCGCTTTCAATGGAAGTGCAATGGTGCCAAGACTGCATAGACCATGTCCTGCTGCTACCCCGCAATCCTATGAAAACCAATCGAAGACCCCTTGAACTGTGGTTGGAATTAGAACCAACTATTCCAAGTGACACTGCAAAACGAAAGCATACTGATTTCCTGCTTCCTGTGCCCTTCTTTCCTTCCTTTACATTCCGGACATCTGTTCCGGCAGCGCCAGCCGCCAGAACAGGCCAGCACCCCCCCAATCCCTCCTGCTCTCCTGAGTTCAAAATCACGGGAAGCTCCGACGCTGGCAGCGACGGATTTGTGAAAATATGGGTTTGCTAGGGCCCCTCATAACAACAAAAACGAAGCGACAGCGCTCGAACAACTCCCTGCCGGCCTCTGACTGACAAAGAGCGGCTTGCAGTGAAGCGCACTCTGCCAACCTGGGCGGAGTCATAGCATGGAGCTACATCTGAACGATTTGAGTCGCACCTTTACGTTGCGATCGTCAGAGATTTCTCCTTGCAGTCGAGCCGCTGCCTGCCAACCTCCTCGCGTAGAGACGACGCCTGCGTCTGCGCCTGTGGTTCTTCGGGCATTCTGCACTGCGGCATGTCAGGACTTTCTTCCAAATTCAGGTTCGCAGCAGCTTGCAACTAAAGCACACAGGTCGTTTGCCGCTCAGGGTCGGCGGTAGAAGCACGAACTCTCTATGCTTCCCTGATCCGAATGAGCAGGCCTCTGCGACCAGCTGCTGCTTGCTAGACTCCAGCTCCTTGGAAGCCACCTGAAACGAGAAGAGAGAGAACCGTATTGACGCGCCCTGCGATCGACGGTCAACGCATCCCAGAAGATCCGCTCTCGCTCTGCTTCCAAAGACATGCAACTGCCTTCGGTTTCTGCTGAACTCCCTGCCCGTCGGCCTCCGACGCGCAAAGAGCGGCTCGCAGTGAAGCACACTCCGCCAACCTGAAGAAACATAGCTGTAGCATTCACCTACGTCTGAAGGACTTGAGTCAAACTTTTACATTGCGACCGTCAGAGAATCATTGCTGCAGGTGGCCCCCCTCCTTGCGGTCGAGCCGCTGCCTGCCAACCTCCTCGCGTAGGGACGACGCCTCCGTCTGCGCCTGTGGTTCGTCGGGCATTCCGCACTGCGGCACGTCAGGACTGTCTTCCAACTTCAGGTTCTCAGCACCGTGAAACTACCACTGCACAGGTCTTGTGTTAACACAGCAGCGCGAACTCCCTATGATTCCCTGGCACGCCTCTGCAACTAGCTGCTGCTTGCTGGACTCGCCGACCTGGAATCGACACGAAGAAGGGAGCGAGAGGGATAGAGAGAGGATCGGCAGGAAACAGAAATATCAAGAAAGAGCGAGAGAGATACAACCTAGATAGATAGATAGAGAGAGAGAGAGAAGAAAGGGAGAGGTAGAGAGAGAGAGAGAAGGCGAGGGATCGCATCTCTGTGTAGGCACACGTCTCACGCAAATTGTGCCCGGTGCTCTAGGTCTCATTTGGTCGGTGTAATTCAATACTGCAGCACGAGGTCTCCGGCAGGATTCCAACAGCAGCTTCACGATTCTTTCTAGCACATGTCGATGCATTCCGCCAGGTTGTTCGTAATAAATCAAGCGGAGTTCTAGCAGTACTCAGTAGTAGAGCGATACCAGGAAACCAACTTATGCCACTCGCAGCATAGCAAGCCCTTGGTTTGCATCCTGATCGTGTCTCCACGGCAGCTCAACAAACGTTAAGTGGAAGGTGAATGGCAGTATGACAGCATTTTGCTCCGGTCCTGAAAGGGGACAGACATCTATCTGCTGCAGCTACTTGGGCAGACGTCTAGCAAGCGTTCGCGCAAACTATGTCATAGACTAGTGGAAGAGTATGAAGAATGGACTGCGCTTTCGATGGAAGTGCAATGGTGCATAGACAGCATAGACCATGTCCTGCTGCTACCCCGCAATCCTATGAAAACCAATCGAAGACCCCTTGAACTGTGGTTGGAATTAGAACCAACTATTCCAAGTGACACTGCAAAACGAAAGCATACTGATTTCCTGCTTCCTGTGCCTTTCTTTCCTTCCTTTACATTCCGGACATCTGTTCCGGCAGCGCCAGCCGCCAGAACAGGCCAGCACACCCCCAATCCCTCCTGCTCTCCTGAGTTCAAGGTCACGGGAAGCTCCGACGCTGGCAGCGACGGATTTGTGAAAATATGGGTTTGCAAGGGCCCCTCATAACAACAAAAACGAAGCGTCCACGCTCGAACAACTCCCTGCCGGCCTCTGACTGACAAAGAGCGGCTCGCAGTGAAGCGCACTCTGCCAACCTGGGCGGAGCCATAGCATGGAGCTACATCTGAACGATTTGAGTCCAACTTTTACGTTGTGATCGTCAGAGATTTCTCCTTGCAGTCGAGCCGCTGCCTGCCGACCTCCTCGCGTAGAGACGACGCCTCCATCTGCGCCTGTGGTTCTTCGGGCATTCTGCACTGCGGCATGTAGCGACTTTCTTCCAACTTCAGGTCGTTTGCTGCTCAGGGTCGGCAGTAGAAGCCTGATCCGAATGAGCAGGCCTCTGCGACCAGCTGCTGCTTGCTAGACTCCAGCTCCTTGGAAGCCACCTGAAACGAGAAGAGAGAGAACCGTATTGACGCGCCCTGCGATCGACGGTCAACGCATCCCAGAAGATCCGCTCTCGCTCTGCTTCCAAAGACATGCAACTGCCTTCGGTTTCTGCTGAACTCCCTGCCCGTCGGCCTCCGACGCGCAAAGAGCGGCTCGCAGTGAAGCACACTCCGCCAACCTGAAGAAACATAGCTGTAGCATTCACCTACGTCTGAAGGACTTGAGTCAAACTTTTACATTGCGACCGTCAGAGAATCATTGCTGCAGGTGGCCCCCCTCCTTGCGGTCGAGCCGCTGCCTGCCAACCTCCTCGCGTAGGGACGACGCCTCCGTCTGCGCCTGTGGTTCGTCGGGCATTCCGCACTGCGGCACGTCAGGACTGTCTTCCAACTTCAGGTTCTCAGCACCGTGAAACTACCACTGCACAGGTCTTGTGTTAACACAGCAGCGCGAACTCCCTATGATTCCCTGGCACGCCTCTGCAACTAGCTGCTGCTTGCTGGACTCGCCGACCTGGAATCGACACGAAGAAGGGAGCGGGAGGGATAGAGAGAGGATCGGCAGGAAACAGAAATATCAAGAAAGAGCGAGAGAGATACAACCTAGATAGATAGAGAGAGAGAGAGAGAGAGAGAAGAAAGGGAGAGGTAGAGAGAGAGAGAGAGAGAAGGCGAGGGATCGCATCTCTGTGTAGGCACACGTCTCACGCAAATTGTGCCCGGTGCTCTAGGTCTCATTTGGTCGGTGTAATTCAATACTGCAGCACGAGGTCTCCGGCAGGATTCCAACAGCAGCTTCACGATTCTTTCTAGCACATGTCGATGCATTCCGCCAGGTTGTTCGTAATAAATCAAGCGGAGTTCTAGCAGTACTCAGTAGTAGAGCGATACCAGGAAACCAACTTATGCCACTCGCAGCATAGCAAGCCCTTGGTTTGCATCCTGATCGTGTCTCCACGGCAGCTCAACAAACGTTAAGTGGAAGGTGAATGGCAGTATGACAGCATTTTGCTCCGGTCCTGGAACGGGACAGACATCTATCTGCTGCAGCTACTTGGGCAGACGTCTAGCAAGCATTCCCGCAAACTGTACTTTAGACTGGTGGAAGAGTATGGATGTGCAATGGTGCAAAGACTGCATAGACCATGTCCTGCTGCTACCCCGCAATCCTATGAAAACCAATCAAAGACCCCTTGAACTGTGGTTGGAATTAGAACCAAAAATTCCAACATGACACTGCAAAACGAAAGCATACTTGCTTCGTGCCCTTCTTTCCTCCCTTTACATTCCGGACATCTGTTCCGGCGGCGCCAGCCGCCAGAACAGGCCAGCACCCCCCATCCCTCCTGCTCTCCTGCATTCAAGGTCACGGGAAGCTCCAACGCTGGCAGCGACGGATTTGTGAAAATATTGATTTGCTAGGGCCCCTCATAACAACAAAAACGAAGCGACAGCGCTCGAAAAACTCCCTGCCGGCCTCTGACTGACAAAGAGCGCCTCGCAGTGAAGCGCACTCTGCCAACCTGGGCGGAGCCATAGCATGCAGCTACATCTGAACGATTTGAGTCGAACTGTTACGTTGTGATCGTCAGAGATTTCTCCTTGCAGTCGAGCCGCTGCCTGCCAACCTCCTCGCGCAGCGACGACGCCTCTGTTTGCGCCGGTGGTTCTTCGGGCATTCTGCACTCCGGCATGTCAGGACTGCCTTCCAACTTCAGGTTCGCCGCAGCTTGCAACTACGGCACACATGTCCTTTGCCGCTCCTGCTCAACGCTAGCAGCACGAACTCCCTATGCTTCCCTGATCCGAATGAGCACGCCTCTGCAGCTAGCTGCTGCTTGCTAGACTCGAGCTCCTTCAAAGCCACCTGAAACGACTCCGAGGGAGTGGCAAAGCGAGACTACAGAGAGAACTGTGCTGACCAGCAGAAGGAAGACCAGCTTTCGCTCTGTTTTTGAAGACATGCATCTGCCTTCGGTTTCTACTTCCAACCTGGAATGACTCCCTGCCGGCCTCTGACTTGTAAAGAGCGGCTCGCAGTGAGGCGACCTCTGCCAACCTCGGCTGGCCGAATGATCTCAAGCGATCTTTTCTCGAATCGAGAAACAGGATAGTTACAGTCGAGCAACACCTTGTCTACCGATGCTGACTGCTCGGGTGCCTGCAATGCCAAAGCTGGATTCGGCATTCCTTCTCTCGTCTAAACAACAGCTTTGCGGACTGTATACTTGGGCAATCTGCCTTTACGCCATCCGTTGCTGTTCTTCTAGTACTGCCCTACCAAGAAGCAGCCGAGACTAAAAGTATCGATTAGAGACTTAAGCCTGGATGAATGACGTCGGTGTCCTTTCTCAGCATGCCCCGCAACTGGCGGTCTGCAGACGTTTTGCCTATCGCTTCAAACCGATATACCTTCCTCACGCACATCTGGATCTCAAAGTACCGCGCTGGGGCCTGTTTGAGACAACAGATGCTCTGGAACCTGAGAGTCCCCGAGATAGGGCAGTCAGCTTTGAGGTGAGCGGGCGGGGCCCGCCGGCCCGCCATGGCCCGCCTGTACACTTTCGCAGACTTGGCAAAGCCTTAAATCCCTTATGGCCGCTGCTGGCCGCTGCTGCTCAAAGTGGCGGGCGTCTCAGCTTTTGGTCTTGCAACGTCTCCGCTTCATCGGCTTGGGTGGGCTGCCCATAGCGTCCTCACGAGACCCGGAATGGCTGGGCTCCAGGATTGCGGGATAGAAGGATGTACTGTGAGGCCTGGATTGGGCCACCAGTGCGCTTGAGCTCACCATCAATAACGGAGTTCACCACGTGCATGTGATCTTCCTGGCACACGACCCACCACTTGATCAAGATTCCTGGAACTGCACCAACCACATGCAGATGGCATCACCATGTGTCAGGCATGTCAACGATTCGCGCAGTGCTCGATATGCCTGCACGCTGCCGCTGCGAAGGTATGACACGAACTGCTCGTAGGACCTTGCATGCCGAGCTGTTCATGCTACCTGCGGGCAGTGTGGAATTGCTCAAACTGCTATCATCCAAGGGTTCCAATCCGACAAGGAACACTTTGCCCTGCTGCTCTGGGTCCACCTGCAAAAAACCATGTCTTGGAGGTCTCGGAGTTTGGAGGGCTCCAGGCCTCGGCGAGCAGCTCCTCGACGGGAGCGCCTTCGAAGGAGTCGCCCAACAGCTTCTGGAGGCTCTCGCGGGAGATGAAGCCACGACCATCCTGGCTTTCAAAAGACTGCAGCTTCGGGCGTTCAGACTGGAGCCATGAGTTCTGGATCCTTGGGCTTGCAGATGCTTGCAGCCTTGCGTCGACATCAAAGCGAGCGAAAGCCGATCGAAGCAGCTGGTCATGCCTGACTCGACTGTTTTCGGAGAAAAGCACGCTGCCACGCTGCAGCGGGGATGCATGGCAATGCGAGAAGAGACCATCGCCGCGAGGAACTCGCTGTAGTGCACCTCAGGCGCTAAGACATTTCTGCTCAGATTTATTGCGACGATGAATCGCAAGCGGAGGCATCGCCTCGTCACAGTGGCTGGAGTCCAGTGCATGGAAGATCCCCGCGACCTCCTGGGTGCAGCAAGGTTCTTCAAGGCTTTCATGTCCAGTGGGCTCGTGGACCATGAAGCTGCTTGCAAGTCCAAGTTGCCTGGTCCGTGATGTCCTGACTGCAGCTTCTGCACTTGCTGTACAGACTTCTACTTCTTCCGCGATGGAAGTGCTTAGCTTGCACCGTTGCATCCAGACGCCGCTTCAGAAGACCCGCTGTGCACGGAGCAATGCAGCGGGCCACAAGGACTTGCAGTCTGACTCGGATCGTTATCAGAGCTGGCTGGAGTTACTTCGCATGCAAGCAGCTTGGCGTGCAAACCCGATGAAAAAACCCTCGCTGATGGCCACTGTTAAGCTAGCCGAAGTTGCTGGTGCTGTGGAGAAATTCAGGCCCCACAGGCGGTATTGCAACCAGGGTGAAAACGGTGGAGTTCGGAGCACAAGAGACTGAGTCTACAGCTCGTGTCCCTAAATTTTGCAGCTACGCCATGCGCCATGAACGATCTAGCTCCCCTCTTTCGCCGCCGACTGGCGGTCTCCTGATTGTGGCAATTATCGCGAAAACCTCCATCGCTAGCCACCTTCCAAAATGTCATGTCCGGAGCCGGCAGCAGCAAAAATCCGGAAGTGGGTCCATCCGATATATTCAACCGACATGCTTTCCAGCACCCTCAATCTAAGATCTGAGCAGAGACGAGTCACAAAGTGGCTCAGAACGTCTCGCATCTCGTGAAGTCGGATGGTACCTCTCCGAGACGTGTCCAGCTCCAGAAACGCATCGACGACCTCGCGATTCCACCACTTTGGTGTGGAAGTTCAGGTTGGTCCCACTGTTGCAGGCAGGATGCTGACTTGCGCTCCTCATGGGTCAACGACCAAGCCATCAGAGACATACCTGATTCTAGATGCAGTGCTTGCACGAGTTTCGGAGAAGCGAAGAGTATCTACTTCCTTTGCTACCTGGTTCTAGCTGGCTCGCTTGAGCAGGCTTGCAAAGACCGAGGCACAGGCACGCCTGAACTTTGAGGCCTGCTCGAACTTCCTGTGATGTTTCTTGTCTCTTTGTGCGAAAGGAGGAAGAGAGAGAGCTATGGCAGCTACGGGGAGGCACAAGACAAGGAGATCCGTGGTCCCGTGCCAGGATTCCCCCACTCTACAGCATGGCCTGCCCCGTTTTACGTTCATGAACTTGGCCACATCCCACTCTTCCAACTCCACATAAGCCCCACCAATCCCATTCCCGGCCCCCCGGCAGAAGCACTTGAGTCGGCGTACAAGAGCTGCATGCGGAAGCTGTCAAGTGCATCATACTGTACTGTACTCCACAGAGTTACTACACATAGAAGATGCACATGCAGAAGTAGCAAAACCATCACTACTTTGACCCCTACCGGCGGGGCTCCGGGGCCTCAGGGCATCAACGACGGAGCGATCCACGCGGCTCTCGGAAGGGATTCTCTCCCTGTCCTGCGCATCCAAAACCGAAACTACTTGAAAGCTCGACCAAACCTGAACCAGCACCTCTGGCCCGGGTTCCTTGATCCACCCATGCGCAAGAGCTTCATCGGCACTCATTCGTGCGGCAGGGTCCACCACCAACAGCTTTCGAACCTTGGCAGACTTTTGTCTCGAAGTGCAGGGACGCGCAGAGCATCACAAGGACATCACAGATGAATCCCATGAAACATCTTCAGGAGACAAAGTCTTTGGCTGCAACAGAAACAGGCGTCCATTCCTGCGGAAGAACTCAGGGGAATCCTCTCCATGCGGACGCTTGCATTCCTGTCCAACCTCATCTTCCATGTCGTACATTCCAGACATGATGCACACGATCTGATGTTGCTCCTGAGTAACATGGCCAGCATGCTGCAGAGGGCCTCAAGCCCCTTCGGCTCTGGACAGTTGGGAGCTGCAAGCCTTCACCACACTAGTCACTAGTCAAGACCAGGTGCTGATCCTGCGAAGGGCATGCAGCCAGAGAGAAGTATGTACACAATTACGCCAAGAGACCACCTCGGCGTCGTGGCAGCGCAGATCGCCGTAGGTGCACAGTCAATTAGATGCACTAGAACATGCCGAAAGCATGGGCTGGCACAAGTCGCACTTGGAGCTGTAGGTCTTGTTCAGCACCTGACGACTGCAGGGCACCCTTCGCCGACTGAGCATTGAGCGGCCCGCCGCGGCCGACCTCCGGGGCGATGTAGCCCAGCGTCCCGCAGCTCGCCTCCGGCGGAAGCGGAGGTGAAAGCCGTTGAGGAGGCTGCGCGGCAAAGCGTACGCCTCCATCTTCGTGTTGGGCTCCCACACTTTGCCTGCAAGTGCAGAGCTGATCAGAGCTGCACAGGGATGGGGTTTGCGGGACAAGCTCTACAGTATCGGCTGTTGTCCTTCTAAATCTGTCCCATGAAGGCCCAAGGCGCTGAGGCCGAAGTCGATTAATTTCAGATGGTCCGTGTCCTGTGGGCGGCAGTCCAAGTTTCCTCTAAAGCTAAGCGAAGCTCGTGCACCGTCCTTCCGGGCATACATGAAGTTCTCCAACTTGATATCCTCGTCGGGACGCTTGACAGGGACAAGTGCCAACACTCAGACAGATCAGACGGGAAATCCGGGGTTTTGCTTCAGTCCGTAATTTAATGCCGGGACAACCTGGCAGCAGTGCTATCTTCAGCTGCGCTGTTGCTGACTGCAGGGCCAGCACCCGACTCGATCTTCTGCACTTGCAACTGCTAGCCGAGCATCCCGGTGGACAATCCCATGGCTGTGAATGTAATTCCTGATCACGCGCGGATTCGAGAAGCAAATGTCTTTGATGCGAGAACTTTAGCCGGAAGGCAGCGCCAGGAGCATCTGCCAGGCGGTGTGTGCTGCGTCTCGTTCCGGGAAGACCTCTTGGAGGCTTTTCCGATTTTCCTCCTTTCCCTTCGGACATTGCATGAAGCTCCCGAAAGGCAGGACCTCGCGGTCCATAACTCGGCTGAACAGCTCACCACCTGCAGGCGCAGGCAGTGGAGCGAAACCTGACCCATGCCATACCGATGCCGGCGGGCGGCCCTCCATGCATTCCATCACCAGGCTCATTCGACCTTCGGCCTTCCCAGAGACGCGAAGTGGTACGGGAGAGGAGACTTGCCACTGCCGACTGGACCGCCTGGTAAACATCGAGCAAACGGGCCACTCGGGGATGATCCATGCTCAAGAATAGCTCCTCAGGCGGCTCAGCAGAAAAAGGCGCATGTAACTGTGTCCTGTCGCACCTGTGCTTATCCCTGCTAGACACAAAACTATCCAACCAAGCTTGTGACAGCTATTGAATCTCAGTCACGACTTCATTTTCCAGCTCACGACGTGCCTGGCATTGTGCAAGGTTTACGAAATATCTCTGTCGAAGCTCTCCCCATGCCTTCTCGGTGATGCCCACGAGGCTTAAGCTCTTCACTGCCACGGATTGTTCGGTGGTGCGGCTTACCGCCTTGGGCAAGCGCAACCCTAGAAGACGATGCATCAGTACAACTCCGTCATTGCCTGCAGCACTTGACCACTGCAGCCCGTGCCAAGGACCTGCACCGAGGCACCGAGGGTCTCTCAGCACTGCCACAACACCGAGAAGGAAACTGTGAGTCCAAGCCGGACCAGCCTTTTCGCTGACACTGTAGTCGTCCTTGCAGGTCACTCCCATAAATTCCAGCCAGCAAGCCGCAGTAGCAGCGGGAATAAGAATACCTTGCTTAGTTCGGAGCTGACACCGCTACCCGTGCGCTCAGCCCTGCGAGGCCTGGAGAGTGCGGGGCAGCCGATGAAAACCTTGGCAAAAAAAAAACAGTCGCCGACTCCGAATTCCCGTGGAAAAACGGCCACGCGGCGGCCGAGCACCGCAGGCACCGAGAGCCGCCGCTCGGCCCGCTCCAAGGAGTCGTTGGAAACCATGGCATCTCTGAGACAAAGATCTCCAAGCGACTAAGGCTTGCGGGACTCTGATTTCATTTTCTGTCTCTGCTGCTGCATTCTACCACACTTTGCATCCACTTCACTGTTCTAGGGCTCTGCGGAACATGGACGAGGAAAGTCTTATTGCTCCAGTCGGCTGCGGGACACAGAGGCATCATGGCAGCAGGGGCATCACAAGAGCAGGGAATTCGATGAGACCTCGCTTGCACTTCCAGATATTTGATCAAGATACAAGATGCGTAGATGACAGCTGCAGCTACTCGTAGCTACCCGGATGCAGGCTTCTGCCTCCGCTTGGCGATGTGCTTCGCCCTTCTCCTAGCATGCACTCAACTTTGCCTTTCATCAAGAGCCTTCTCCGAGCGCCCTTCTCACCATCCGGTCAGCTTCATCTAGGAGACCAAACGGGGTCCAAAGCTTTACGGGCTTTCAGGGCCTGACCCCGGCCTGCACATCATTGTCGGAGTCGGCCAGATCCACAGCGCCTGGCTGCACCGCTGCCACCTCCGCTGGACTCCACGCTCCAATTTCGCTGCCACGTTGTGCTGATCCTACCCGAAATCTCACTCAAACCTCCCCCAAACCTCCATCGTGACACGGGCCTCCGGGGGTGGCTCCCTGACAGCCGACGCAAGCGGCACCTAGGAAAACCAAACCGGGACGTGCCAAGTTGAGTTTCAGCAGACATCTCTTGGACCATAAGGGGCAGAGATGGAGACGGCTCTCTTTGCATCCCAGGCACCGGTTCCGAATCGCGAGGCCTCGAGGAGCAGGCCAGGCTGCCCTTGTTGATCTTCATCCCGAAAGGCCTGCTGAAGGCATCAGAACATTATGAAAGCATCGTCGTCAACATGTCATCGCGAAGGCCAGGGGGCGCTTCAAAAGGCATCTTTTCAGATGAGCACATGGGAATATTGTGCGCGTGTGTGTGCGTGTGTGTGCGTGTGTGTGTTTGCAGTGGCGGCACGTCTGAAACCCATGCACCACAGCATCCAAACCTCCGGAAGGATACACGGCACACTGGGTCAACGGCAGGAACCATCCAACAACATGGAACAAGTAGATAACAATGTGAAAACAGCGTGCAAACTCGAAGGCCAGGAGAATGCACGCTTCCAGAAGATCACGTCTGGATTATTCTCTTCTCCGGGAATGAACCTCGATTTGATCAGGAGAGTGTGGGAAGTTTTCGAGAATCCCTCGCAATGATTTAGCATCTCTCAGAAGCATACGCATGATGTCAATCGTTTCCGATGGGTGCCATCCTTGAAAAATTAATCATCACTAGTATCTTTTGCATCACCACTTTCACCATATTCGTCTACAGTTATCTTGGACACCATAGCCGTTTTAACTGCACAAAAGCGCCACGAAAAGCCCGGTGGTTGATGCGGGCACATGGACTGGCTACTACTCAGCATGAGTCTTTGTCGATCTCCTGGGCAACAGCCCAGCTAACGGTCAGAAGCTGGCTTCAGAAGCGCTTGGTCAATGCAATCCTCTGGTAGGAAGTCGCATCTTTCTGTGCTGGCTCCATACACACACACACACATACATCTTGTGCGCACGGACAAAGGGCTCATGAGCCCCTGCGCATACATCTCTCTCTGTTCTTTCTTTCCCCAGGCTTGAGGGCACGCCCCCGCAGGAGCAGCCCGTCCGGTTGGAGGTGTGCACGGTTTTACGTGCGAAAAGTGGTTCACTAGTCTTAACAGTGGAGGACCTTTGCCAGATCAAGTACCTCATAAAATATCGTACAGTTTCCCTGCTCTCGCCGCGATTGGCGTTCTCTGCACTTCGTGGTTCTTCCACCAAGTGGAAATGTATCTCTCTTGCTTGCTTACATCTCTTTCTTTCCCCAAGCTTGAGGGCAAGCCCCGGCGTGGCTGTTCCAGTGAGTGTGTAGCCTCGCCCCTGGTGCTCCAAACTCGCTACTACCATACCAACACTGACTCTTTCCCCGGTTCGAGGCTTCTTCGGGCAGCTTGTGGAGGCACTCAGCTACTGGAGTGGGCCGCGGGGTCTACACAAAGCAAGTAAAGCACTTAAGAGTGGCTACTTAAGAGTGTCCGGCCTCGCTCCCGAGTCTCGGCTTCGCCCTGCTTTCCAGAAAGCAACAAAGTCAGGACTGTAGAAAGGTGCTGAACACAGGACAGGACTGGGGCACTACCTGGACTCTGTTGTGATTTCGCCCCGACGGTGTCTACAGTAGGGGCTGTCGCCGTGGAACCAATGGTGCACTGCCTCCAAGGCTCTGCCCCCCAGCTCGTACACGTCGCCAGTCAGGAAGCCCCGCACACCTTGTAGGTTGCGGATTGCCTCCCCGACCGAGGTGCTCTGCTCCAGGTACGGTCTGTCACTCTCTTCCACGCTCACTTGCAGCCGTATGGCGTCCGCCGGGTGAACGCCCCGAGACCTTGGAGCTGCTCCACCCGCAACTGTTGCGAGTCTGGCTGCCGTGGCAGGGTTGCCCCGGTGAAGCTGCAGTCCAGCAAGGCCCTGGCGTCGACACTGCTGTAGGCACACTTAACTTGGTGGTGAACTCCCCGTGAGGCTGCAAGGTGTACTGCTCACCCCTCCATATGCCGCCCCTGGGTTGGTGTCCATCCCTGTGGTTGCCAGGTGAAGGGCTTGGGCTAACTCGTGCAGGACGGCTTCCTTGGTAAGCGGCGATGCTGGCAGTGCTACTGCAAGGGCGTGTACTTGCACCGCTACTTCCCTGAACAAGGAGTCGGTGATTCGTCCTTTTTGGTGGGTGACGCCCCGCTGCAGTTGGCTGGACTTTCAGCCGGCTCTCTGTGGTCTGTGAGCATGTTAAGGTGGTATGTGACCTCGTGTGGCTCTGCTCTGGCTGTTTCGTACAACAGACTTCGCAGCTTGTCTATGGCCCTCTCCAGGTACGTAGGCGGTGGCGGGTCTGTGCTGTCCCTGGCTTGTGCTGGCCTTTGCATGAGCTTAGTGTGGTCGGGCTCTGGTGGCTGTGGTGGGTCGGTTGGTGGCGGTTGCGGGCTCAGGCGGTTGCCCGGCGGTCTGGTGTCTTGCAGTTGCGCGAGCAGGGGCTGTTGTGGTTGTGGTTGCTCTGGAGGTGGTGGTGCTTGTGCCTGCGTGTTGGTTTCTCTTTGGCTGCGTCTCAGGGTGCGACCGTCAAAGACAGAGCCTGTTTGGCTGGTGGCTGCTGTGTGGCCGGAGTCCGAAGGCGGTCGCGTGGATCCGTGGGTGGGCGGGGTGTGCTCTGGTGTCGCCGCCGTGTGTGGTGACTGCTGGCTGTCCGGGTGGGTCTGCGGAAGCTGGTGGCTGCTGGTGTTGTGCCCCGCGGTCTGTGTCTGGTGAGGGGTCTTCGGGATCGGCAGTGCACCCCGCTTCTTCATTGAGGTGAACGTCGAGCACCCAGTCGTCTTGCCAAGTGAAGGTGAGAACGTCCCCTTCACAAAGTATTGCCGGGTTGAATTCGTACTGCCCCGGAAGAGGCCCCCTCGCCCACTTGTTAGTAGGAATGGTAGGCCGGTTGATGGAGGGGGTGTTGGGGCCACGGAGTCGAGCTGCTGGCTGGCGTGGGGTCCCCTGAGCTGCTTGGCGTGTGTCGCGGCAGGTCCGTAGAGCTGCTGGCTGGTGTGTGTGGCGGCGGGTCAATGGAGCTGGCTGGTTGCTGGGCCGCTGGGTGGTTTGCCGAGGTGGCGGCCTGGGCCCAAGGTGGGGGATCGTCCGCGGCTGTCGTCGGGAGTGGCTTGAGCCGCCAGCGGTGGGGGCTTTGTCTGCGCGCCCTGGGCTAGTTGTGACTGGCTCGCTCCGCCTGTGGTGGGCGCGGTGGCGGTTGAAGCAGTAGGAGGCTTACATCTCTCTCTCTCTCTTGCTTGCTTGCACAGCATGTGGGACGAGGAGGTTAGACCCCCCACCCCCGCGCACAGCGCTACGCTGAGTGTCCAAGTTCGGTCAATTGTGAAACTTTTCGGGGGTGTTGTTGCGAGCTGGATCTGATGCCGAGTTCCTACATTCTGCATATGCTCAAACATCGTTTCCCCGCCTTGTCAAGCTCGCCTGCTCCGTCCCCCGTTTTATGTTCATTGTCAGGCTTCTTCCACTTCTTCGTGGGCTGGCCTTCTATGCTACGGGGCTCCCAGTGTTTTCAGGACGCACAGGTGACAAGGCTAAAGGAGCAATTACACTTGGTTCCTTTGCCCCCGGTTGCTACTTACTGGTCCCTATGGCATCTCTCTCTCTCTCTCTCTCTCTCTGCTTTGCTTTGCTGAGGGGCTTGGGAGGCAGGCAGTCCCTGCCTCTCTCTCTCTCTCTCTCTCTGACAGGTTGAAGGAAGGCAGCGGACGCTACCCTCCTCGCACGCGAACGCGCACCTGCAGTCCGCAGGATTTGGTGTCCCCCCCAATGACTTTGTCAAAGAGGGCTCGGCTATACTTTCAGCCAAGTTCCCCGAGCAGTACCATAACGGAGCAACTAACAGAAAACGACAGGTATACAGCCAGTAAGCACTGGTACTGGTACTGGTCAGCTCCTGCTTCTGTCCCCGCTCCTGTGTTAGAAAGCAGGCCAAGGGCTGTTCAAACTGAATTACAGAACGAGTGTGCCTCATGACGCGATACAACCAACACAAACTGCGACACATGTAAGACGGAAAGACTGTCATGGTGGCCATCCCCCTCTGACTGCATCAAGGCCGCTGCTGGGGCTTAGCTGCGGTTCCCAGTTCATGGTTTGACTAAGTGAGCACTTACCGACTGCAATGTCCCCCACACACACACAGCTCACAACAATGCAACCTTCGTAATAGAGTTGTACAAAACAGTCGGCTCCATCACAGGGCTTTTGTCAGCTTCACCGTGCAACACAGGTTGAGAGGGAAGACTGAGTTGGTTCACTATTCCCCGCGAACAGACAACACAACACCGTCACTATGAGTCGACCTTAGCGTAGCTAACAGGGTGCTTCCCCGCTCAGTCCCCCTTTGTTCCCCTTGGTTGAGTGGCCGGAAACTCTGTACAGCCAACTTCACTTTACCTTCGACGTCTCTTTCGTGCCTCTCTCTCTCTCTCTTCGCTTGGCTTTGCTCTGGGGCGTGGAGGGCTCTCTCTTCTTCCCCGGGGCATGAGGGGGTTGCGAGACCCCTCGGCCCTAAGGGCCCCCCCGATGTTCGTGGGGCTTTGGAAGGGCGTGAAGATTGTGAAGGTTTTCCCCCCGGCTGAATCTAGACTTCGTATACGATAGATATATGTAAAAGTACGATACCGGGATTAGTCACCATTCACGTTTAGAAATCTCGCACGTCAGTTCCCCGGGGCATGTGCTTTGCCAAACCAACACAGACAGCATGGTAGTAACGAATGTTTTGCACATCCCCCGGTGTGTTCAGAACAGTGTACTGCTAGGCTCTGGTCGTTCGGGGTATTTTCCCCCTCAACAGTTAACAGAAAACAATGGGCCTACAAGTGACATTAATAAGCAAACCAGGGTTCACATTGTGCCAGACCAGGCTTCGCATACATCTGAACTAAGCGAAGATGAATTTCCCCCGTCATATTTGGGAACTCGTAAGCTGTATCATGATGAGGACCTTTCAGGGGGGTTTCAGACATCATTCACTTGGCAGATCAGTTCCCGGGGTTTTGTGCCATTCGGAAACCAATGAAACAGCTTAAGCCAGTAACGAACAGCTTAGGCCAGCATCGACTTGAAAAACTTCGCGGCACATTCCCCGTTTTGTCGAACCGAGATGGTTCTGCTACTCGGGGCATATTTCCCCCGTTTTGTTTGTGCGGCAGCCGGTCTAGAGGTGAACAATGTAATACTGAGGTAACAC